TTGGTCATGTTGTCAGAAGGGACCATTCCTTGGAGAAGGATGTCATGCTTGGTAGGGTGGAGGGTCGACAAAAGAGGTGAAGGCCTTCAACAAGATGGATTGACACAGTGGCTGCGATAATGGGCTCAAGAATAGCAGGGATCATGGAGTTGGCGGGGGATCAGGCAGTGTTTCATTCTGCTGTGCATGGGGTCGCTATGAATCAGAAACAACTCGCCAGCACCTACCAAGGACAAGTGACAATCTTTGCAACAGTCTTCCTCAACTATTCTGTTCAAATTAAACTTATGCAAGACACCAAGAAAGTGAGTTTTGGTCCTCTTGTAGTTTGAAGTCCTTTGTGCAATGTAGTATCATTGACTTAAACCAGCTAGATATCGGAAAATTTCATTACCAGAACAGTACATTTGTAGGTAGAAACTATTTATGAACTATGGAAAGTTCTTCCTTGGTATTCAAACTTTGCAGTGCTAAGTATATAAATACAGAAAAGATGAACTCTGGTCCTATTAGGTAATCTCTATAGTAAAACAGAGGTTTAAAATTATTCTTATGAGTATAATGTTTCTGAACTTAAAAGACAGCATTCTTTCAGAAGCAAGGTAGATATAATCACAAGATCAGGCAGCAAGTCAGGTGTAGCAATCAGGATCTATTTCCCACAGGGATCTAGGTGACAGTTAACACATCATAGATGAATAGAAAGGAGGGCTATTGTTTGTTTTGCTATTAGATGCCATCAGGTTGGCTCTGACTCATGTTGTTGTTGTTATGTGCCGTCGAGTTGGACCCGACTCATAGAGACCCGTCCTTTGGTACCAAGGCAGTTTCACTACAGAAGTAGATTGCCCCATCTTCCTTCCGAGGACTGGTTGGTGGGTGTGAACCGCCAGCCTTCTGGTTAGCAGACAAGTGCCTTAGCCACTATGCTACCAGAGCTTCCCTGATTCATAGTAACCTTATATATAACAGGCAGAAGCACTGTCTGGTCCTGCACCATCTTAACTATTCCTGATGTGTTTAAGTCCATCATTTTAGCTATTGGGTTAACCCATTTCACCAAGAGTTTCTTTCATTTTCTCAGACTGTACCAACATGATGTCCTTTTCAGTGATTGGTTTTTCTTGATGACATGTCTAAAGTAAATGAGCTTAAGTCTTGGTATGCTTCTAAGGTGCATTCTATTAGTTTGACTTAGATAATCACAAATATCAAGAGCAAGCAAGTGGAAGTCTGTTATCAGCTGCCACCATTAAAATCCTGATTCCTTTCCCAGTTTCAGATCTGAATATGTTTCCAGCCTCTAGAGATGAAGGGAAATCTAGGTCCCCTTTTGGAAACCATTAAGTACTTCCTCCCAATGGAAATAACCCTTGAGGACCACTGTGGCCAGAGATGACATCATGGTTGATGATTACATTAGATTCCATCCATCTGGAGAGGGTAATGATTCATGTTTACTGAGATGAATATTTAACTATTTGTTTGCATTTCCTGCTTGCGGTGTCTTGGCAAAGACTATCATAAAAAGATTCACAGATTATTTATTGTCAGGAATTTCTTACATAATTTTGCTTTACCTCACAGTAACTATTTTGCCATGATGAAGGAATGAAAATGAGTATGTATACAGTTTTCCACCAGTCCTGATATATTCTGTATCACCAGAAGCTGCTCAGTATCGTGTATCTAAAACTCATTGCCATAAAGTTTATTCTGATTCCTGGTGACCTCATGTGTTGCAGAGTAGATCTGCTCCATAGGGTTTTCTTTGACAGTAGTCTTTATGGAAGCAGACCTTTCTTCCATGGTCACTCTGGGTAGGTTTGAACATGTAAACTTTAGGGTAATATTTGAATGCTAGCTCTTAGTGCCTCCCAGGGACCTATCACACACCTAAGGTGTGGCAATTTTGATTCAGTTGTTGCTCTCCTCAATTCTAAGCTAGTGCTCTGTCCTGCATCATATTTGAAGATGTGTCGCCTTTCAGCCAGGCTTTGTCACTAGCTCTATTCCTGTATCTGGGCTTCAGTAAATTCACCTGCAAAATGAGACAAGTAGATTAAAAGACTTATTGGGCCTGAGCAGATCAAATAGTCTAGATACTGCAGTTTTCCTATCTCTAGCAGTATGTTTGGAGATCTTGTTTTGGAAATCAAGTAAACAGATGAAGAAAGTTCTAACCTCACTTGTGACCAATTAAATGATTTAGACATTAACTTATTTTATGTTTTTTATGTAGAATTGACCTGATAAACTTTAGGATCCCAGATTTAAGGTCTCTGAAGACACAGATTTTTCCCCCCACTGCTAAATCTCCGGTGTCTAGAATCAGTCCTTAATAAATGTTGTTTGATAAATAGATATGGTGAGTTCTAGCAATGGTTATTAATAAAATGACGTCTTGGTTGACAGTTCTGAGTCAGTGCTTGAGGTAGTTGGTGTTGCCATTCAAGACTACAAATGCCCAGCTGAGGCTCAGTAATGTAAAATGTCAAAGAAGCAAATGAGGGAAATAGAGCTGAGGAGAACAGTCACCATAAGAGATCCAGACGAAGCAGTCTCAAGGCAACCGTAGCCAAAGAAACTCATGGAGGTTGGGTGAAAAGCAAAATCTATGTGACTGTTGTTGTTGTTAACTGCTGTTGAGTTGATTCTGACTCATAGCCCCTCCATGTGTGCAAAGTAGAACTGAGCTCCATAGAGTTTTCAAGCTGTAATCCTATGGAAGTAGATTGTCAAGCCTGTCTTCTGAGGTGCTTCTGAGTAAGGTTGAAGAACCAGCCTTTTGGCCAATCCATTTACACCACCCAGGGACTCTTTCTATGTGTTTAAGAAGCAGGATTTCTTTAGTTCAATACCAGCTCAAAAAGCCCAAGACCAATGTTTTCATCACTGAACACAAAAAGTTCTCCTGAGAAGTTTTTGTAGAGCTCTCTTGATGTCTCTGTTCCTCAGGCTGTAGATGAAGGGGTTCAGCATGGGAGTGACCAAGGTGTACATCACTGATGTGATCATGCCCTTCCAGGAAAAGTGTGATGCTCCTGAACTGATATAGACACCAATGCCTGTTCCATAGAACAAAGAAACCACAGACAGGTGAGACCCACAGGTGGAAAATGCTTTATACTTCCCATCAACTGATGGGATTCTCAAGATAGAGGAAACAATTCGAGTGTAGGAGAAAAATATCCCTGAGAAGGGAACAATGCCAAGAAGGCCTGTCACCATATATAGAAGGATGTAGTTGATGAGTGTGTTGGAGCAGGCAATCATGAGGGCCTGAGCAAGTTCACAGTAAAAGTGTTGAATTATCCAATTGGTGCAGAAGGAGAGCCGCAGTATCAACAAACTCTGTATTAGGGAGCACATTAAGCTGATGAACCAGGACACTAGAACCAGAAGACCACAGAAATGGGAGTTCATGATGACTGGGTAGTGCAGGGGGTGACAGATGGCTATAAACCGGTCATAGGCCATCACAGTCAGAAGAAATGTGTCCATGCCTCCAAACACCATGAAAAAATACATCTGAGTGATGCAGCCTGCATAGGTGATGGATTTGCTCTTGGTCTGGATGTTCACCAGCATCTTTGGGATGGTGGTAGAGGTGAAACAGATGTCAGCCAAGGACAGGTTGGAGAGGAAGAAGTACATAGGGGTGTGGAGGTGAGAGTCAGAGATGATGGCCAGGATGATGAGCAGATTTCCCAGCACAGTGACCACAAACATGGACAGGAATATTCCAAATAGGATTGGCTGATGCTCTGAGTCCTGGGAAAATCCCAGGAGGAAAAATTCTGAAGTGCTTGTTTGATTCCCTGGTTCCATGTTGCTGACAAGTCAGCTAGTAAATAGAAGAGGGGAGAGAACATGAAATAGATACTGCACAGACTCTAGATTCTTCCCACATTATTTCTTCAAGCCAAGAATTAGGTATAAAAGCCTTAACAATATAGAATTTAGGAATCCTACACTCTATCATTTGTTAATATGAAGTATTTCATATTTTGACCAAATCTTGTCCCTTGGCCCTTTTCATTCTAGTTTAGAATAATCAAATCTATAAAGTTGAAGACATCTTTGGAACTTAGAGACAAAATTGTCCATACCTACTATAACACACATGTGGAATGTGAGGCCCAGAACTGGGACTTAAAGAAGGGTCAAATATCCACGTGTGAGTGATGAAGAAATTTGAGTGAGGGGGTAATATATGGAAAAAGTATTGCATTTGTATTTGCAAAGTATTGCAAAGTGGGATTTAATTTTGCTTCCTAAGGGAGAGGGCAGGGGAAAGAGGAGGGAAAGAGAAAAAAAAAATGAAGGAAGGGAAGAAAGAAGGCTCTTTTGAAGTAGATTGCCCAATACTAAGCTGCATTTAAAAAAAATGCTTGATGTTCCAGGAACTTTCAACATTCTGCAGGAGTAGGACCAAGTGCTTCCAGGACATTTTCTATGTAACAAACCCTCCTTGGTCTGAGAACATCATAGACTAAAATGGCCCCATGAACAGCACAAAAACAAAGATGTAAACCATTCCAGTAGATAGATAAGATATTGCAAAGATCATAAACAGACTTTTGAGTAATGTTCTTTATAAACCAAAACACAAACACACTGGCATCAAATTGATTCTGAATCATAGTAACACTTGTAAGACAAAGTTAAATTGTCCCATAGGGTTTCCAAGGCTGTAAATCTTTACAGAAGCAGACTGTCTCATCGTTCTCCTGCAGAGCAGCTGGTGGGTTCAAACCATTGACACTTAGGTTAGCAGCCCAATGTTTTAACCACTAAGTTATAATATTCTCTATAAACCAAAAACCAAACCCATTGTCATCGAGTCAGAGCAGCTGGAGGGTTTGAACTGCTAAACTTCTGGTTAGCAGCCAAATGTCTTATTTACTATGCCACCAGAGCTCCTTAATGATCTCCATGGTGCTCATAAAATACTTGTAGAAGACAGAAATTACACCAAGGTGTTCACTTACAAAAACAAAAGATGAGGGCCACACATGAGTATTCACATTAAGGCTTAGAATGGCAGTGGGAAGATGGGGAAGGGGGTGGAACTCATCCAGCACCTCCTACCCACTGGCTCCCTCCCCTATAAGCCTTGAAAGTCCTTTAACCAAAGGCAGAAGAATGACTGTGAGAAACAGTAGCAGAGAAATGGCAGCAGCAGAAGCAGCAGAACCAAGAGACCAGCAGGAGACAGAGTGATGGGCTTCTTGGCCCACAGACTGAGAAAGCTGAATGCCTTTCGGCAGTAGGCTTGCTGATGCAATGGGGTGCACTGGTAGAGTGGAGTGTCTCTGAACACTTATCATTGACAGCGTTAACAGAGCTTTGTAACACTTGCCGGAGTAGGGCAGGTTCCAAAGCCCAGAGAGAAGCGTGCCTGCAGGCACTGCAGACAAGAGGCTGTCCTGATTGAAGAACTATGTCCCATATCAGATCTTGAATTGTCCCTTCCTCTAGAAATCCTATAATTGTATTATCTGTGAATTCTGGGTGACCATTACAGGTAATTGTCAAATCAGCAAAGCATTAGAGAGTGCCTTGGGGTGGCCAGTTGGTGTCAGAATTGATTTTTTTTTTTTTTTAAAGGTGAAGAGTGAAGACATGTCTGACCTCCACCTCATAGGAATCAACCTTGGAATTTTGATGTTAATCTTAATCTTCCTCCTCCCTTGTGAAGTTAGAAGAGGTCAGATGCATCTCCCATGCCACTTTTCCATGTCTTCCTGTCACCTTCCAAAAACAAGTAAATTTGGTGTGTTGAGGAGGTCTCTCAAGAAACTGGCATAAGCTTGACCCTCCTTCCTCATTTCTCAACTCTTATGTAAATTTTGATCATTCTGCAAAGCTTCCTCTTTTGGTCTTCTAGTGCTGCTCTAACAGAAATACCACAAATAAATGGCTTTAACAAAGAGGGGTTTATTCTCTTAAAGTTTGTTGTTGTTGTTTGCCGTCAAGTCAGACCCGACTCATAGCGACCCCTCCTTGGGTTTCTGAGGCAGTATCACTACGGAAGTAGATTGCCCCATCTTCCTCCTGAGGAGTGGCTGGTGGGTTTGAACTGCCAGCCTTCTGGTTAGCAGTCAAGTGCCTTGGGCACTATGCTACCAGAGCTCCTTCTTAAAGTTTAGGAGGCTAGAAATTCGAGTTCAAAGTGCCAGTTCTAGGGGTTGGGTGAAAGCCCCTTGACCCTAGGCTTCAGCTCTGCTTCTTCCTCCCTGCCACTGAAGCTGGAGGCATCTCTTAATTCAAGCAGCTGCTGGATGCTGAGGCTGACAAACCCAAGGTTGGCAAGTAAAATGGCACAGTCCCAAAATTATCAAGCAACACAGCAGTCCACTAAGTCAAGTCCATTAACAGTCCGAAGATCAGAATACATTGAGATGAAGACTTGGCTACATGCAGGTGTCTAAAGCCCCAGACCTTCCTCAAAACTTCTTATATACTGGAAGAAGACCACATCTCTAAGGCAGCTACTCAGCTGTTCCAGTAGATTTCAACATGGGGTTGATTTTCAGTCTCATCATGAGATATAACTATATCCAGCTGCCCAGCCACTCACTCAAAACCAGGCCCAGCCAAGTTGACACACAACCTTAAATACCATACTTCCTTTTACCCAGATGGGTCATACTTTCTTATATCTCTACATTTTATGGTATTATTTGATTTTAACTAAGATCCATCTGACATCAGCAATGATATCTCTCATTCTACATCTTCTTCTGAACCTGGCTTGAATCTCTGGAAGTTTCCTGCTTATATATTACTCAATAGTTTTTGAGTTATCTTCAGCAAAATTTTACTTGTGTGTGATATTAACTATATTGTTTGATAATTTCCACATTCTATTGGATAATCTTTCTTTGGAATGGGCACAAGTATGGGTATCTTCCTGTTGGATGGCCAGGTAGCTGTCTTCCAAATTTCTTGACATAAGTGAGTGAGAGCCTCCAGGATTGCATCTATTTGCTGAAACATCCCAAGGGATATTCCTTCAATGCCTGGACCCTTGTTTTTTGCCCGTTCCTTCAATGCAGTGGACTGTTGCCTTCAACAAAATCATTTCTTGATGGTATACTACCTCCTGAAATGGTTGAACATTGACGAATTGTTATAGATAGTGAGTCTGTGTATTCCCTCCCTCTTCTTTTGATGCTTCCTGCATTGTTCAATATTTTTTTCCCATAGAATCCTTCAATATTGCAACCTGAAGCTTGAACTTTTTCTTCACTTCTTTCAGCTTGAGAAATGCTGAGTGTGTTCTTCACTTTTAGTTTCCTATCTCCAGGTCTTTGTAAATTTCACTATAATGCTTTATTATATATATTATTTTTATATTTTCATAATTTAAAAAAAAAAAAGAATCACAGAATTGTGGGAGCAAGCAGTTCAAAATTTTGTAGGTCCATCCAGAAGGCTTGAAAATTAACAAGATTTGATGTTGTAGTCTTGAGGTAGAATTCCCTCTTTTGTGAGAAAAGCTCATTTTTTTTTTGCTCATAGAACCTCTAATGATTTGATGATTTCCACTCACATTGTCAAGTGCATTCTCCTTAAATTGAAATCAACTGATATAGATGTTAACCACATTCACAACAAAATGCCTTCCCAGCCATACCTATATTAGGGTTTCATCAAATAAATGGATGCTATTGCCTAGCCTACTTGACATGTAAAAAATAACTAACTATCACATTGAGGGTCCCTCTATAATCACATTCTTGGTTCTTTTTCTTGCATGTGAACATGCTCAATACTTTCCTTCCTTATACGAGGAAGCCCTCCCTCCTCAGACACCTGATCTTCTTTCCAGGAGAGAATAAGAGCAGGCAAGTGGATAAAGACATCCATTCTTCTGCCTCTGGTTATAAGATCTTCAGGGCCTGCAGAGACTCCACCCACAGGCACCTTGAAAGAAAGGCCAGGATGTCTAGGAGTGAAAACTCTACCACTGGAAATCTTATGGATCAGAGTTCCAGCAAAATGGCAGAATAAGCAGGCAAGCTACACAGACTCTCTGAAACAAAGCAATGAGAAACCAATTCAAATCTTTAAAGAAGATGATCCTGGAACCTTGAGCTTTGGATGGACGGATTTTTTTCTAACTCAGTGGGAGATACCAATTGTTCCCACACAACCCAACCAAACCTGCACCTCCTGCAGCCTCACTCACAGAATGAGGGCCACCACTTGCTTTTAGACCTACTGATCAACAATAGATAGTGGCCAATACTAGCTAAACTCACCCTGAACTACTACTACTCTTTTTACAAACAGCTAACAAAAAATTGTGCCCAGATTCTCATTCTCTATCATACTCACCAGGAGACAGAGAGTGAGTGCCTAAGCACCATGAACTAGGAAACAAAGGAGCACAGTACACTGCTCACACAGATACACCAAAAATAAAGGGGAAAAAAATCTTGCTCAAATCACACTAACATACAACCACAAATTAAAAGTAAACACAAGAAGACCACAATTTCTCAGAGACAACAGATCATCACAGTGCACACAAAAAAAAGTAAGATAAAGTAGTAGAAACTAGGGACCAGGATACAAACCCAAACAAACATCTCTGCGAAGAGCAGGATTGGAAATTCCTGATAAGGAATTT